TGTCTTCCATGCCTTCAAACTCTATAATGTCTATTCCTGGTAAAAGTTTTTTAAAGTTTTTCTCATCATCATCTAAAAGTTTGTCCATTGAAATCTCTATTCTTTCTGAGATATTAGTTATTAATATATCACTCCATGTTTCAAAAAACTCTTTAAGATACGAAAAAGTTAGAGCTGGCTTAGCCATTTTAACTCTTTTCTGCTTGGTCCTTCAGTTTCCTCTAGTGCCCATTTGTAACCGTCATCAAGCCTCAATTCCTAATATGGGCTTAGTTCCATTTCAGTTGTTTCCCACAAGTATATTATTTAATTATATACTTGTTTTTCAAGTCTTACAGCAAAAAAACCCAATATTCCAAATTTCTCTGATCTCCCAATCCATTTAAAACTTTCTTAAATCAAAATAATTTTTTTGCTTCTTGCCAATTGTATGTTATTATAAATTCATAAGTCTCTGTTTAAAATTTCTTAAATCCAAAGAAGAAGGTAAAACTCACCAGTTGTCAAATGAAGCTCGCCATTTTGAAGATCTCAAATATCCATAAAGTGGTTAAATTGAACATTTCTGAGTGTGATTAGAAAGTGAGTTTATCTGGCTTAGTGTCCTTATGAAAGCAAAGATGTCTTCTCCCTTGGGTCCTGGCACTCAAACCCACAAGAGACCACTGTTCTGTGGTCTTCTCATGAGGAGCTGCTATTCAGAGCTCTCATGGGCGATCTCCCATTCTCTCCTCTGGAGAGATTCAAAGGACCAGTCCACTTGGTCTTTCGTTCTTCACAGCAGCTGTTGTCTCTGCTCATTTGTGGAGGTGTCTTCAGTCAGCCATAACTCACACTGGAAGCCAAATTCATATCAAACACAACTAGGTATCTTGTAAGAGCATGGATGTGTCGCTCATGCAAAATATATTCTCTTGTTTTATAGTTGGTGGGTTATTTTAAATTAACTGGAAAATACTGACACAGTCCTTAATAAGTTGTGTGAGCAGGAATCACGTTATTTTTTCCTCTGAAGTGGTGTATGCTATGAATTCAGAAAGAGGAATCTCCGTAGGTTCTTGTGAATAAAGATAAATGTGATTCCTTTATCTTTAAGCTTTTCCCTTCCTTTTTAGATTTTACTTCTTTACATCTTGATATCACATGGTTGTCTTTAGAGTTCAGCATACCCATCATGTCCTGCTACCACTTTATTACAAAAAAGTAATGTAAGCCTAAGTCTTACTTCTAATATTGTTATTATGCACTAAACATTAGAAAGTTGTTACAAAGTTTACAATAAATAATTAAAGCTTGCCTTCACCAATTTAAAACAACAAGATTATGTGCGTAAAACAAAGGGCATTTTATATTAAGAGACAGAAATAGGCATTCTGGGAGGAACATAAATTTTCTTTCTTGATATTCTAATATTCTAATACTAACAGTATGCTAACGCCAGATTTACAGGTAGTCCTCGTTTAGCAACTGCGGTTTAGCAACTATTCATAGTTACGACAGTGATGAAAAATTAACTTTGCAACCAATCCTCACATTTATGACTTTCGCAGGTCTGTAAAGCAAAGGAAAGCTGAAATAAGATAATAAGCACGGTTGTGATTTCTCTTAGCAACCACTTTGTTTAATGACCGAGTTGCCAGTCCCAGTTGTGGTTGCTAAATGAGGACTACTTGTACTACAGTTAAGTGCAGTATCACAAATTCCCTAAATCAACACTGTGTTCAAGTCATTTTCTCTCCTATAAAAGCTTTCATAAGTCATGATTTAGTGATTGGGATCACTAAACACATTTTTAACAGATAAATAAACCAAATGGAAGCAGGCCTAATGTATATTATGCATCTATTTTAATTTACTTGAATTTTCTTCCCATTTTGTTTTGCAGCTGTGATATCTTTCTAATTACAATTGCGGGAATGAAGCTACTGCGGTCCTCATTTTGCAATCCTGTTCACCAGTTTGTTACATTAAGTTTCACTGTCATCTTCTTCAGGTTTGACTACAAAGGTTTCTCTGACAACTTCTTGTTCAATTTCTTCATGATGTCAATTGTATTTAATAAGGCAAGTGGTTATTTTCAAAACATCATTGCCTTTCAAGTGAATGTTTTCCTGGGTTGAGTTAATCTTTTTCTTTCAAAACAAACAAAAAACAGAACAGAACTGTTGCAATGTTGTTAATGGTAGTGTTATCTAAGTTTTTATCTCATATTTATGTTTAAATAACAATTAAACAAAAGTAAAACCTGCTGATAAAGATCAAGCAGAAATATTGCTGTATCCTACCAGAACTTAAGAAAGAAATAATTTTAAAGTAAACCATCTTTGAAATGTCATGTTGACTTCTGTGTTGACACAATGCTGTCAAAACTTGCAACAGTAAAGCAGCTTTGAAAAGGAGAATTATTAATAAATTGGAACCTGGCTTGCTGAGACACACATGAAAGAGCTGCCTGCTTGAATATTTATTTAACTTTTGGATACTTCTACTTTTTGATTCAAAAGGCTTCTCTGGGAGATTATTCAATTAAATAATCAGCTTTAACATAAATTATTAATTTTTCATTCCTTGTGACTGGAACCGAAAATATCTGTAGCTCAGGGCTGGAATGTGGAATCCTTGGTGCTCTCTGAGCTTGGTTGTTTGCTTGCAGACCTTTTGTTACCCAAGTAGTTAGTGTGGGAGCAAACCCCACACTCACTGGCACGGATGATGTTACCTAGTTGGGTAATAAAACATCTGCAATCAAACAACCAAGCTCAGAGAGCACCAAGGACTCCATGTTTATGTATCTCTGTCCTCCACATGGCTTTGCGCAGTTACTTCAAAGGCATTCCTCAGTTGTTCCTACTTGTGCATGCATATGAAGACAGCATTTAAGTGCATGTGCATACACAGATAATTGATCCTGAGTGGCAAACATAGAGGAGAAGGAAGATCTATTGGATAAAGTATATTGATAGAAGAAATAATATAGGATAAATGTGGAGTCCTTGGGGTTCTCTGAGCTTGGTTCTTTTCTTGCAAACATTTCATTACCTGGCTAGGTAACATCTTCAGTGCTAAAATGGGATGAGGCTTGCTCTCTATTTATCTGCTGTGGCCTGCTGTGCCAGTGCTGGTGGGAGTGGGGATTCTGTTTTGCTCTTCTGGTAGTTCATTGATTAGCATATGTTGACTGCGTAACATCTTCAGTGCTAAAATGGGATGAGGCTTGCTCTCTATTTATCTGCTGTGGCCTGCTGTGCCAGTGCTGGTGGGAGTGGGGATTCTGTTTTGCTCTTCTGGTAGTTCATTGATTAGCATATGTTGACTGCTTGATTGAACCAATAACTTAATACTAAGATCTCCACTGAATTGTTACTTAGTGTTTGTGTGC